AAAAATCTCAATCGCCCTAAAACCTTAAAAATAATTACAAATTAACCCCAAAATAAAAACTTTAATCTCTAACAAAAGAAACCCAAAAACAAACAACAGAAACTAAAAATACACCACCATAGAACCAACTACCAGCAAAAAAAACCCCAAACTACACTTTTTACTACCAGTTGTTAGTGAGGCACATCACAAAAATGAAACAAAAATAAAAAATAGCCCTGTAGAAACCCACAAATCACAAAACCCCCTAGAAAAAGAAGTCCAACCAACATACTAAACTTCAAACCATACAAGAGACCCTGAAAGCTACTAAAAATGAAAACCAGATCTCTACACTAACTCAAAGAGTAACCAGTACTCTGCTAAGTTATCTTTAAAAACCAAAGTAATAAACGATATTAAAAAAATCTAAACCACTAGACAATAAAAAGCACCCAAATAAAAAACTACCTAAAAAATCCACCGTATAAATACACAAGTTCCTAAAAAAAAACACTAATAAAAAGCAACCAACAAATACATCAAACTAAAACAAAAACTCAAATAAATAAACTGAAATTAACAACCAAAAAAATTACTCCTAACTCAATAAACCCATAATGCCTCAATCCATCAAAATACAAATACCACCTAGAAATAAACACGTCACCAAAAGATAAATGTAACCATAAACGATAACTCCCAAATTACCAGTAACAATATAACATCCACGACAATTAAACAAACCAAATGAATAAAACCTCTATAAGAGAATTTTAAAAAAAGCAATTCTCAACATTTAAAAAAAAACCCTCACTAATTCACTACAGGACACTACCTCAAACCCACCAAAACTAACACTACATACTCGTGCTAATAAAAGCCACCACAACCTAATTAAAAACCAACCCTGTACTTCATGCTACGACCCATAAAAACCATTGTAAACCTTAAAAAAACATATCCTTTAAGAAGATAACAACAATTATATTTTTATAATATAAAAACAACAAAAAAAAATTCCAACATATCGCACAAAAAAAAAAAAAATCCAACAACAACTCAATCCAAAAAACCCCTTGTCACAGCACCTGAACCAAGAACCGTAACAATAAACAATTACACCGTGACCCTTCTCATACACCAACTACGAACAAAAGAAAACAACCAAATAAACTCCTCAGGAGCGCCTCAAAACCACCGCAGCGAGGGAGGCTGGAAGATGCGAAGCCGCGCTCCCGGCCCCGGGCGCAGCGCGGCTCTGGCAGGAAAGCGGCTCCTCTGGCAGGCAGAGGCGGCGCCGCGCCGGGAGACACCCCGCCCGCTGCCCCCGGCCCGGCGGGGCCAGCACCGGGCCCGGGGGGCCCCGGCGGCGCCCGAGCCCCGCGCCCGGAGCGG